ACTCATTGATAATCCCATTCCAGAAGCTCACAGAGTTTCAGCTGCTCTCAGTTCCCTGGCCAGCGGGTCATTTCAGGAAGCAATTAGAAACTCTGCTGCACTTCACAAACATTGACTTGTAAGTACATGCAGGATATCACTGTAACAGAGCCCAGCTTTTCATTTCCTTTACCCGTGAAACATGGTGCCACATGTAAAGACCAACTAGAAATGACTTCAGAAGCTGAAAACTGGGAACTGGCCAAGTTTACTGAATGCAGTAAACTTTGCAGGCTATGGGATTCTCAGCTGTCACTGTCTTCCCACACATGCTGGGTTCAATTAATTGTACCATATAGCTTTAAGATTGCTCTATCACAAATCGACAATGTTCATGAAGGCGGAAGGCTGGTTCAATCTGTTGATGCAGTCAACCAGGAATAGGACTGACCTTGTCTCTGATACTCCATCCAGTACCACCTGCAGTACACTTTCAGTAAACCTGGCAGCAGGTTTGACCTTCTTTAGTCCCCCATCCAAATTTGCAGTATGATGGCCGGTTCCCAGTTTTCAGCTTCTGACGTTGTTTCTAGTTGGCCTTTAAATGTGGCACCAGCGCCTTCCGCAAATGCTAGGGGACAGAGGGTCAGGCATGAAGGAGGAACTGAAGGAAATCCTTATTAGCTAGGAAATGGTTTTGGGAAAATTGCTGGGATTAAAACCCAATAAGTCCCCAGGGCCTCATGCTCTGCATCCCAGAGTACTTAAGGAAGTGGCCCTAGAAATAGCGGATGCATTGATGATCATTTTCCAGCATTTGGTAGACTCTGGAAGTGTTCCAATGGACTGGAGGGTAGTTAATGTAACTCCACTCTTTAAAAAAGGAGGGAGAGAGAAAATGGGGAATTGTAAGCCGGATAACCTGATATCCGTGCTGGGGAAAATGCTGGAGTCAATTGTTAAGGATGTAATTACTGAGCATTTGGAAATCGGTGACAGAATTGGTCCCAGTCAGCATGGATTCAGTAAAGGGAAATCATGATTGACAAACCTTCTGGAATTTTTTGAGAATGTGACCATTTGAGTAGACAAGGGTTAGTCAGTAGATGTTATGTATCTGGACATTCAAAAGGCTTTTGACAAGGTCCCACACAAGATATTAGTAAGGAGAATTAAAACTCGAGGTATCAGAGGTAATGTATTGACATGGATCAAGAATTGGTAGGCAGACAGGAAGCAGAGAGTTGGTCCTTTACAGAGTGGCAGGCAGAGATGAGTGGGGTCCATAGGGTTCAGTGCTGGGACCCCAGCTGTTTACATTATACATTAATGATTTGGACGAAGGAATTGAATGCCATATCTCCAAATTTGCAGACAACACTAAGCTGGATGGCAGTGTGTGCTGTGAGGAGGATGCTAAGAGGCTGCAGGGTGATTTGGACAGACTGTCTGAGTGGGCAAATATTTGGCAAATGCAAAATAATGTGGATAAATGTGAGGTTATCTACCTTGGCTGCAAAAACAGGAAGGCAGATAACTATCTGAATGATGGAAGTTTACAAAAAGGTGAGGTGCAATGAGACCTGGGTGTCATTGTGGAACAATCGCTGAAGGTTGGCATGCAGGTACAGCAGGCAGTGAGGAAAGCTAATGCCATGCTGGCCTTCCTAGCGAGAGGATTGAGTTTCGGAGTAAAGATGTCTTGCTGCAGTTATACAGGGCCTTGGTGAGGCCACACATTGAGTATTGTGTGCAAGTTTGGTCTCCTAGTCTGAGGAAGGACATTCTTGCTGTTGAGTGAGTCCAGCGAAGGTTCACCAGACTGATTCCCGAGATGGCAGGACTAGCATATGAGAAAAGACTGGGTCGACTGAGCTTGTGCTCACTGGAATGTAGAAGAATGAGGGGGGATCTCATAGAAACATATTAAATCCTGATGGGACTTGACAGGCTAGATGCAGGAAGAATGTTCCTGATGTTGGAGAAGCCCAGAACTAGGGGTCACAGTCTAAGAATAAGGGGTAAGCCATTCAGAGACTGAGATGAGGAAGAACTTCTTCACTCAGACAGTTGTGAGCCTGTGGAAATCTCTCCCAGAGGAAGCTGTTGGGGCCAGTTCATTAGATATATTCAGGAGGGAGCTGGACGTGGCCCTTGCATCCAAAGTGATCAAGGGGTATGGGGAGAGGGTGGGAATGGAATACTGAGATTGCATGATCAACCATGATTATATTGAATAGTAGTGCAGGCTCGAAGGGCCGAATGGCCTACTCCTGCACCTATTTTCTTATGTTTCTATGTTTTCTATGAGCCTTTGAGGCCAGAAGCCTCTCCAATGTGATTTCCTCAATGACACGCACAGTATCTCCCTTGCATACATTATGGGCCAAGAAGTTCAGCAACCCCCAAGATAACTCGGCCCTGCGATTGACAGATATTACACCATCCAATCAACTTGTTGCCATTTCTTTAACATCAAATGAGAAAATTCCACCCAATGATAGTGATGCCAATGAAAACAAGGAAATGGCAGACATGTTGAATAATTACTTTATTTCAGTATTTTACCATGGAAGAAGAGGTCAGCACGCCAGAAATCCCAAGGAAACTAATATTGAATCAGGAACAGGAATTGAACACAATTAATCTACATAACTAACAATAATAGACAAATTGATCACACTAAGGAGTGACAAACTCCCCAGGACCGGAAGGTTGTTTGTAAAGGAAGTGAAAGCGTTGCAGTTACTAATTATAATCTTACCAAGTTCTCTCAGTTAGGGAAGTATTCCTTTAGGTTTTGCAGGCTGTTTGGGCAGCAACCTTTGGAAACATTTTTCTTTGGCCTTGGAGAGGATGTAGTGCAAGTTTACCAGAATTATAACTGAACTCTGAGGGTAAAGTTACAAGGAGAAATTACACAAACTAGGTTTGTATTCCCTGGAATTTAGAAGGTTCAGAGATGATTTGATCAAAGTTTCCACACTATTAAGAGGAACAGCTGGGATAGATAGAGAATTTTTCTTTTTCATTTGGAGAGTATAAAACCATGGGTGTACCCTAAAAATTAGAGACAAGCCTTTCAGGAGGAACTGGTGAAAATGCTTTGACATACAAAGGATGGTGGAAATTTGTCTAGCTGTTGCACAAATGGCAATTGATGCTGGATCCGTTTTAAATTTGAAATCTGTGCTTGATAGATTTTTGTTACGCAAAGATTTTAAGGGATACAGGGTGAAGGCTAGGATATGGAGTCAGGTCACGGATTAGCCCTAATATCATTGAAGCTCGACAGATGATATAGATTTCTGAAGAAGGGTCTAGGCCCGAAACATCAGCTTTCCTGCTCCTCTGATGCTGCTTGGCCTGCTGTGCTCATCCAGCTCTACACCTTGTTATCTCAGACAATATAGCCTCTTCTTCTTCCTGTGTTCTTAACACCTGCTCCTTATCCTTCATTTCCTCTAAAACTTTCACCTCATTCCTCCAGTTCTCCCTAAATGTATGAGTGAGCTATTGATCCTAATGATACAACAATGAGCTGGCCTGATGTCAGGGTTATGTTATAATCTTGTTAATGTGCTGTATCATGTGTTACATTTTAATGCAACTGTATAATTTAAACTCAAAATGATTACAACCTTCTATTCTCCTGCCCGTGATCCTGATAGATTGGCAGAAAATATATGAAGGCTGTGACATATGAAATAGCTTGAAGGTCAAGAATGTAACTTGCTACTTTAACACATAATTGCTGGTTTTATGATATTCACAAGGTTTGTTAAATACAGTGTAGCTCCTGCTGCATAGTGTCTGGTGATATCAACACTGTCCAGCCAACCCTACATTCTAGGAAGCTGAGTCCAGGTTTAAATTATTCTGGACTGAGTTTGTAGATCTCAGCCTGACTGGGCATGCATGTCACTGAGCATGGGTGATGTGTCTGCAGGAATTAGTCCAGAGTATTGCTGCTCCTGATGAAGGCGAATATGGGTTTAGGGAGGATTTTGATACATCTCTGCTGTGTAGTTTGGATTATTGCAGATTGTGATTATGCAGTGCCTGTAGTGTCAAATGATCCAAGGTGTTATACTCCAGAAACCTCATTCATGAAGGATCAAACTGGAGTAAATCTTTCAGAGATAGTAGGAACTGC